CCCCAAAACCCCAAAACCCCAAAACCCCAAAACCCCAAAATCTGGATATAGATTGAAATAAGTATTTAGTTATTTTACCTTACTCATCACTTCCAGCTGAGAGTTGTATTTGATGTTGCTTACCAATCTGTAGATGTATTCACTGAGAGAAGACAAGATGACTGCTACCTTCACATAGAACTCTCACACTACAATTCTGCTAGGGTCTACTATTAGAGACTTCAGAAGCATCCATTTGTCCTTTTGTCGCTTTTCATTCTGTCTGCAGTAATAAAGAAGGATTTTAGAAACTTCTTCAACTTTCATTCCTTGAGTGGTATTTTCGTCAGTTTTTCCAAATGGAATCCCATTTCCAGAAAGAGAGTTTGCCGAAATATCTGTTTGAACATATCCTGGGAATATGTCTGTGACTGTGATACCCGAGTCTTTGAGTTCAGCCTTTATACTGTTGCTGAACACTCTCATGGCGTATTTCGAAGCAGAATAGATTGATCGGAGAGGAAGAGGAAACAGTCCGGCTACAGAGCCATTATTGATAATATGTCCAGACTTCCTAGAAACCATTCCTTCTCCAATATATCTTGTTAGAGTGCAAGCTGATAGAAAATTTGCATTCATGATTTGTTTTACAACTTTGAGTTGGAGGTTCTTAAATTTACCTCTCATCCCAACACCTCCGTTATTTATCAAAATATCAATCTTAAACTTGTTGTTGAGATCCTTAGCAATCTGAGTGAGCTCTTCAATATTGGAGAGATCCATTCTGACAACATGGACTTTATCTGGAAACACTCATTCTTGCTTGACCTGATTCAGTACTTCAACTCTACGTGCAGTGATGATGACGTCAGCTCCATTGCGATTCAGATCTTTAGCCAGTTGTTCCCCAATCCCACTACTTGCACCTGTAATCAAGACAACCCGCCCAGAGAAATCAGGAATCTTCGCAGTTATCTGATGGTAACCTGAATAAAAAAGAACTAGGAGATACACAATGAATCAAGTAATCACCCATTCAAATATCATTCCGCCTCAATATTAATAATTTATAAAGGGGTTTTGGGGTTTTGGGGTTTTGGGGTTTTGGGGTTTTGGGG